GCCGATATTGGTTCGTGAAGAAATCTAACAACTGAAACTACATTAATCCAAATCACATAATCTTCATGAAGTTATCGCTTCATTCAACTGAAGCATACAGTGGGACAATAAGATAACCGCACGAAGCCAACTGCTTGTTTAGTTATTCTGTAGTTGATACGATTCAGGCGCGGAAACATTTGATTAACTGTTTTTTTCCAGAGTAATTAGCTGTATATAGACTGTGTTATGCCCTGCTTACTATGCCTGAAGTTTATATATATATATATATATATATATATATATATATATATATATATATAGTGATGTAAATTAATACCATTTTTGTTGATTTGTATTCGTCGGTAAATGTCTTCATAATGAACTTGATGAATTTCCCTGATCACTTCTTATTTCTGGAATTTGTTGAAATTGATCTTCAAGCTGGTTACAAATGCCGGTTGACTGTTTGATTACTGTCACTTTGATTGACTCCGTGATGTTTTTATTCAGAATCTAGAATAAACTAGAGAGCCAAGAAAAATTATGTGTGCCTCATTAGTCTGTAGGTTCATTTAGGATAGTCTATAGTTGAAATACCATATTATTAGATATCATAATAACCCAGACAGTGACAATTTGCATACCTGGATTTCGCGCTTGTCTTGACTTATCAGTAAAGCGTATATGAAATTTTCAGAACATTTTCGTATTCTAAGATATTCGGACGTATTTTATTCTTTTCTGAAGTCTGAGACAACCTTCTGGGTTGGGGCTGCTAACCGATTACAGAATTGTCACCAGTGTAGCTATCTTATCCAAGAAATGTCGATTGAATTCTTTTGATGCGGTGAACAATGCTGTCACTAAACTAGTTTATCATTGATGTTTTGGATTTTGCGATATAATTTTGTTTCTTTTGTTGAAGTCATTTTATGGTGTATCTTAAACTCTACTAAACCACATAACTTTGAATGTTATTAAAGGAACTTAAATTATTATTATTATTGCTATTATTATAAGATGGTTGGAAGCAGTCGGCAAGAAGGCTTTGACCTAGGTTTCATGATTGTTGGCATTCGTCAGCGAGGAGTAGCTGAAATCCTGGAGGAAATCATGTATCTCCTGTGATTCAAACCCATGTCACTCAAAGCTGCAGTTAGAGACGTTACCACCGATGCAAATGTCGACAAGCACTGAACTTCTGTCCAAGGCTTCCTGCCAATTGCCCCCAACCATCTAATAACAACGATTCAGAGTGTACTGTGATGTTGAGCCACCAAGCATTGTGGACACATTACTGATGGAATTCAGTCTGCAGCAAATAAAGGACTATACATATGATACTAGTTAGAGGAACTGATTATTTTCATTCTCTAAATTTTATTTACTATTGATGAAAGTTATGCTGAGAAATATTTTTGTTTCAAACTATCTGAAAGCATTTCAATCAACTTTTAAATAGTAATTCTTTAGGTAACTTGCATAGACTCCGTTTGTCTGGATTGTTTGATTACAAATATGCTTCTGATTTCCACTATCATAAGATCATATCGATTATACATGTAAAACTTGGACATTGAGGGAGTATTTAATTTCACAATAATTTGTTTATTTGATATATCAAACATTCAAACATTATTATTCACAGTATTATTACTATTATTAATTATCAGTAAATAAATTTTAAACATTATCTGACTTATATATGTCCAAACCAAGTTCACTTTTAACGGTTTGAAAAAATTCGGGCATTGGGTATATGATATTCATTATAATAAAGGTTTTTGTAATTCCCAATGAATGAAAAACAAAACGATATTGTTTTTACTGACGTTTCGCTATTCAACACCTCCCTCCCCCCATGAAGTGACAAAATCAACACGAATGTGATAAGCAAGTTCACTATGTAAACACACTCCGCTTTCATAATTTTACACCCTGATCAAATCCTTTGAAACCTAAAAAAGACAGCCAAGGGAACCCAATTACCAGGGAAGAAAGACGGATTAAACAATGTGCGGATCACTTCAAAGGACTCTTGAACTGACCACCACCTGCAACCCCTCCAGAAATACCAACAATAGTGCGCACACAACTGCAAGTCGACACCAATCCTCCAACGACAGCTGGAGTCTTGAATACAATCAAGCTTCTGAAAGCTGGAAAAGCAGCCGGACCAGATGGAATACCCCCTGAAGCACTGAAAGCGGACCCGGAGACTACAGCAGATATGCTGACTCCATTATTGCAAAAGGTCTGGAGGGAGGGAAAGGTGCCTACTGACTTGAGGAAAGGTTACCTCGTGAAACTACCAAAGAAGGGCGACTTAGGCCCCACTCTGCAAGAACTAGCGAGGAATCATGCTCCTGTCGACGCCAAGTAAAATTCTGAGTCGAATCATCCTGGAGAGAATAAAGGACACACTAGATGAAGAAATCCACCAGCCCGGAACAAGCTGGATTCAGGAAAGGCAAATCATGTTCTGACCAAATTGCAACTCTACGCATCATCATCACAGAACAAAGCATGGAATGGCAATCAAACCTCTATCTCAACTTTATAGACTTTGAGAAGGCCTTTGACAGCGTTGACCGCGAAGTAATTTGGAAACTACTCGAGTACTACGGCGTACCCCAAATATTCACCAACCTTATTCAACAGTTGTACGACAACGGCACATGTCAAGTGATCCACAACGGAAAACTCAGCGAGGCGTTTGGAGTAAAGACAGGAGTCAGACAAGGGTGCTTATTATCACCAATGATATTCCTAATTATGGTGGACTGACTGGATTATGCGTCAGACAGTGGGAAACGAGAAGACAGGGATATCCTGGACAGACAGACGTGAAGAACCTGGAAGACCTGGATTTCGCGCGTGGATGATTTATGTTTGATGTCACACAAAATCGAAGACTTACAAGCGAAAACCGACAAACTAGTCGAAGAAGCAGCCGGCGAAGACAGGACTCCAAGTGAACATAGACAAGACGGAGGTTATGAAAATAACCAACCAACCAACCAACCAACAACAACAACAGCAGCAACATCCAGCGCCAATCACCATCAACGGGAGGGATTTGAAAGAGGTTACTTCATTCACTTATCTAGGGAGCATTGTCTCAACTATGGGCAGTCGGAACGGACGAGGATGTCAAATCGAGCGAGAATCGGGAAGGCGAGAAACACATTCATCAATCTGAAAACGATCTGGAAATCTTCGTCACTCAACATCAACAACAAAATATGGTCGGATTTTCAATACAAACAACGTCAAGTCAGTTCTTCTCTACGGATCAGAAACTTGACGAGCTGGTCACAAAGAATATTTGCAACAAGCTAACTCAGACCTTTATCAACAACTATCTCCGCCCTATACTGAAGATCAGATGGCCGGGCCGGAAAGAATCCCCAACAAGAAACTATGGGAAGAAACAAAACAAGAACCAATCGCCCAACAAATATGCAGGAGAAAGTGGAGATGGATTGGACACTCGCTGAGGAAGCGGCTGTGTGAAATTGCGCGTCAGGCCATTGCTTGAGTGGAACTCGAGAGGGAAGCGGCGAGTTGGTCGTCAGTGCAAGGCTGACATGGAGGAGATCGTGTGAAGAGGAGTTGAAAGAGTATGGACTAACCTGGATGCAGGTGAAAAGTACAGCAAAAGACAGAAGCAAATGGAGAGGTGCAGTTGAAGCCCTATGTTCCACTAGGAACCCAAGGGAACAATAATAATACACTTGATTTTGTTATCTTTACCAATTGACCAACTTAACAACGAAAAATGCCTCCAGACAGAGGAACGGTGATCAGGTTAGAATTTTATTTGTGGATGGTGGCTAGCAGTGGAATCCACGATGCGCATTTCGTCAAGTTAGTAAACTTCATTTTGATATCACAACAGACGTACTATTACCTTTGTTATTTGGTTTAGTGACCTTCATTGCTATTTTGACTTTCAATATGTCCCTTTAACTTGACGTAAGTCTATTTTATCACCCCTTAACTCTTTGTTATATATATGCTGAGACTTTGTAAATTTCGGTTTTATAATACTTTGATAGAGCTATTAGCATTCAATTGAGAAACGTCAGTAAAAACAATATCGTTTTGTTTTTCATTCATTGGGAAATACAAAAACCTTTATTATAATTATCTGACTTATGGTCTTCCCGTTCTCAAACTGATTAGTAAACTTACACGAATTTCGCAAACTAAAGCAAGTTTCCAAAATCACTGTATTTTCAATATTTGATGCCTGTAGAGTGAAATGCCTCCTAAATATCTACGTCTAAGAGCTCTGTTCCGGAAAGACAAAACTAGAGCAGGAATAGAATGACTACAAAAAGTTTGCTAAATAGAAAAAATCCCCAGAATATTGGAAAAGTTATACACTATCAGAAAGGAAGTCAGTTAAGACACCAGCTGATGGAGACAGTTAACAACAACGATTGTAATCTCACAATAAGATCCTCTAACAATGCTAAATTAGCGAGATAAAAAAATACTGGAATCATTGGAGTGCAAATCTCTATCTGAAAATGATGAGCACAGGAATATGCGGTCGTCGACCAATAATAAATCAAAGTGGATCATCATTCTCTCAGCACAGGTCATACAGAATTAAGTGCAATGGAATGAAGACTACATTTCATTAAGCAGTAGACAAGCTGAAACCTGGGGTTATCATTCCAAAAATAACACAAAATAGGACGGATAAAACAAATGCAGATGAAGTACCAGCACAATATGCACTAACACTAAGACGAAAAAGAGAGAAAAAACTTGATGAAAACAGAAGCAGAAGCCCTAAATAAGCTTAGGAATAAAAAGTGTATGGTAATTAGTGGATCAAATAAAATCCAGCAAATAATAGTGTTTTAATGTATGATACAAACTAATGCAGGATTATATTTAATTGATGTTGTTTATTTGTCAGTACAACAGTCTTTTTTTATTGTGTTTTTACCCCACAAATCACGTATACATATCTTTTCTTTTTTCTAAAATAAATTTATTAGGACTTCATCGTTTTAAAAGAATCATTGGGGGACAATCGGTGCCACGTGGTACCTATCCATGGGCAGCATCAATTCAAGCTAAACGGCACACATCGTGGACAACTTTAGTAACAGGCACAGAACAACACTACTGTGGTGCTGCATTAATTCGTCCTGATTGGGTAATCACAGCTGCTCATTGTCTGTATGATAGAGAAGATGATGAAATGATAAGGTAAACTTGATGATAATCTCTTTTTAAGTGTTTGGTTTGCTGAAGATTTGATTGGTTTCAAGTTGATCTCAGTCAGGGAATCATTGAAAACCAGAGGGTATTGGACAACATTTTCGTCCTAGTTTGGGAATCTTTGGAAGTACGCATCCATGATCTCACTGAGGATCAAATCAAGGACGTTCAGATTCAAAAATGAACTTGTTGATCATTCAGCCCATGGGATGGAATCAACTGGTCAACTATATCTAACTTTGGACACTTCGTGATACATATTACTGCCACAAGCCACTGTCACTGGCGAGCATTTTTCCCTACTTCGAAATAGGTGGTCTTTCTACAACTGTGGGTAGCTTCGCAGTGTAGTTGGTTATTAGTAATGGTTCGATTGATTTTCAGGTTTTGGTTTGCGAGGATATATCCTCTCTGATTTGAAGTTTTGAATAGTAGGCGTTGAGTAATAACCTTTTCAAACAAGAATTATCTGCATTATTCATCACACTTACAGTTTTCGTAAATAGTATGTCTGTTTTGTCCTTTTCTTTCTTATTAGACTTACTGAGTGAATCCTGTTATTTTTGGTCTTATTCAACCCTAACTATACAGACAAAGGGACTGCCTCGTTAAGGTGATGCAGTTTGGACACCTCTGTACAAATGTATTTGTTCATATATTCAGCTAAAAAAAATCGGCCATTTAAAATATTACTTAATCAGTGCTTTCATTATAACGCTTTAAACACACTGGATACCATCTAGTGAACAATAAAAATGTATTTTAGTAGTTATACTTTGAGCCTTACTAGATACTAAAAGCCATCAGCACACTTTCTGGTCATACATATCTCATGAATTTGTTTGTTGGTAGTTTGGGTGATTAGACAGTCAAGTGACATAACTATTTCTTACATGTTATGAGTGGTTCTTAGCTTTATTCAATTTTCAATCACGTATATAGGTACTAATGATGATTTCTTCAAATTTACAGACTTAAACTTATCAAAGCACTAATTATAAATTATGAGTGCCACGCTTCATTTTAGTAATTTACAGCTTGTGCACCAAATACCTGAGCTCATAAATTACAGGTTATCAGAGTGTCAAAAATGAGTGGACATAAAATCCTCCTCGTTTGGAAGATGAAATTTTGCAGCAGTCACTTCTTTGTTGTTTTCTTTATTCCAGTTATCTAAATCCTAAAATGTGGCATGTTCGAATGGCGACAGAAAAACTAAATGTAAGTTAACAATAAGAAAAATAAACTAAAATTTATTTATTAACCAATCCTGAGAAACGATTCTCGTGAAATAACAGGATATTATTGATAAAAAATGTGCTTTGTCATGTCTCCTGAAAACTGAAGTATCCACTGTGTATTATGCGCCCAAATTCCTTCATTCTCTGCCTTCTGACTGGAACGTAAGGTTTATAGCTTTAAAGTCGCATTATCAGTGATGCTGCTTTCCTACGGGGTGCTGTCGCAAGCCTCACACTCAACCTGACATCTTTTCCTGGCTTACTGCCAGCTTGCAAGATAGGCGAGGTTTAGAAATGCATCAATCCCGGACATTATGCGCCATGCTATGTGCTTGATTACAGTGTAAATGTTTCTTATTCAGCGAATATTTTTAAAGAATACTTTGTTACAACTTTAAGCTGTTGCTTCACAGATATTACTAGATATATTGACCTAGTTTAAGGGACATTTTCGCGTACTGAGTTAGTATACAAGTTATCTGTAGTAGTGGTATGCTTGAAGGAAATAGCCCACCCTTCCGGGACTAATGGAGTTAATTATGAGACCAAACTTCCAGCTGAAATATCGTCATCATCAAGTTATATGCTGTGATACAGTCATATATGAATGAAGTATATAATATTTATACAAAAGTGAATAATACAATATTTAGGTAATCTGTTCAATTATGTAATGTTTTCTTTATTAGAAACATGCCACATACAGCACTGGAGTCAGACATAGTTATATCAACTATCATCAAGTGACCTATTCCCGAGGTGAATAATAAGAAATCCATTTCCTTTAGGTTTCACATATAATTCACATATTCCAAAATAATAAGTATTGTAAAGTACAAAATCCACATTCGTCACTTCTAGTTCTGGACTCCAGATGTAGCAATACTCTGTATTCTTGTTTGAGTTTCCTCATCCTAGCCTCACTCTAGATGAGTTCAAAATGGAAAGTCAGGTTTCAATATCTTGAAAAATCATCTTGAGTGATAAGCAAACATTATTGCACTGAGACAAGGGTCTATGAATATGTGAAATAAGTATGCTTTTACATACAGAAATATAATAAACCTAACTGACTCGTGAAGTATTTAAAAGAATGAACTGTTTACAAACCTTTCTGTCAGAATACTAACTCTTCTTAGTATTTTAAATCCCCTGAGTAACACCAACTATGAGTATGGAATAGTATAATATCTGAAATTTCATCTGTTAGGTTGAACTTTATTTTAGCCTAATAATCCCACAAAAACAAACTTTTAAACAACCTATCATCACTTTCTATTCATAAATGAAATCTATAATCTTCATCTTTCTCTTGAATACTGATTCGTACTTATCGTACTTTTTAAACCATTTATTGCTCAAACAATTTGAGTAAAGGAGATGCATATTTAGGAAGTGGTTCTAGATACCTATGAATGGTGCTCGTGGTCTGATTCTCTAACAATGCACTCCGGAGGTAAAAGTAAAGGTTGGGTGTGAGACTGACAGTTCCACCCTGTAAATACAACATGACCACAACTACTGAAGCTTCAAAACTCTAACCTAAAGACCTATGTCCCACTTAGGAATGAAAAGAAAAAAATTGGTTTGAATTTTACTGAAGATTGTTCATGAATAAATCGGCTTTTGAAGACCTACTGAATAGCTCAACCTGACCCAGTAACAACCGAACAACATGAATCCAAGTAGATGGTTCACATTAAGGAACCGAAGTGCAAAAGAAACTTTACCCTACAGGCTAGTTTCACATCTATTCAGAAAACTACTTATCAGACGATATGTATGCGCAGTTCATAACACATGCACACAAAGAATATGGAATAAAAAGTACACCAGTTATTATTAGTCACTAACATATCCGTATGTATTTATTTCTCACTAACCCATTAATACTTTACATTTTCTCATATAAATAAAACTGACATTGTATATACGAATTGTGTATTTGTTTCTCAGTCAGCATATTTCATATGAGTGAAGTGATAATTTAATTATGCCAAATGAATCTTGTCAAATTATGAAACTGACCAATTTATGGTTACCAAAAATATATTTGTTTATGAAATGTGTACAAAAACAACTGATTATTGATTCATAATGTTAGCATACATATTGAACAAATAGAGTTTAAGTATCAGTTTTCACTGGTTAGATATTATATGTTTGGTGTTGATTAGTAGTGTGTATACACACTCTGATCTAGGTATTAAGCTGTTTAAAAATCACCCACTGGGAATGTTTCCTAACTTGTTCTATTTCAAAATTTTGATATCACTTAGTCTCATAATTTAGTAGATTATTCTTTAAGGATTCATCTTAAGCGATTACACGGGTAATAATTCAGATCTACAGTCTTCCATAGCACTGAAACAGAAATATTATGAATTCTCTAATTACCAGTTGGCTTCTCCCAATATCATATTCAGCCAATCGGAAGAAAGGGTAGCTTGTTAAGCTTCCAATGAAAAGTGACAAGAGTATGTGACATATGGCACAGAATTGTCTTCTTGTCCATCCTAAGGAAAATAGAAAGCCCCATTGTTTTGGAACTATTAAAAGGTATCATGGATGAAAAACTTCATTGAGGACAGGCTTGGTACAGGAAATGAGGTTGGGAGTGAAGTAGTTTGACTATATCTATAAACATCATTCTACAGAAACACATGCCAAGAGATTCAAACCGGAAAGGCCAGGGAAGCGATCATATTGAAGACAGGGGTAAGACTAGACTGTTAATTATCACCAATGTTCTTCTTCATTGAGGTGGACTGGATATTGTAAAGGAGAGTAAGAGGATAGGTGATCGTCGAACCGACAAACATACCCTATAAAATTCGGATTTCGTGGATGATTATTGTCTCGTGTCTCGCAAAGTCGAAGATTTACAAGCGAAAACTAACATTTTGGAGGAAGAGGTAGCCAAGACTAGTCTTCAAGTCAAAATATGGAAGACAAAGGTGATGAAGATATCCAACCACCAACGAACAAAAAGAACCAATCACTATTAATGACAGGAATATAAAGGGAGTCGTCGCATCCAATTACCTGAACTAAACAGTATTGTCTCAACTACAAGTGGTAAGGATGAGGAAATCCAGAACGGCAGGCATTGAACACTCTGTCATCAGAGTACGGATCTATCGCACTGAATACAAAGAAACAGCAGCCGAATTACCGATATGAATGTCAAGCGAGTGCCTCTAACTAGTTCAGGAACTTGACACAAGTGTCTTCAAAATAATTCCAGCAGCCTGTTACAAACTTTCAGCAACATTTGTCCCCGCTCGATACTGCAGAGAAGATGGCAGGTCGGAGAGGATAAGCATTAAGGAACTCTGGAAGAGAACTAGTCAAGAATATACTGCTCAAAAATTATGCAGAAGGAATTCTAGGTAGATTGAACATCTGCTGAGGAGACATCACACACTAGACCATTAAGTGGTAAGTGGTGAGATAAATGCCGAAGGGTAACATGGAGACCACGCAAAGAAGAGATGAAAATTTGTGTGTAGTCTTGAAGTCACATTAAAATGATAGCAGAGAGTAGATTACCATGGAAATGTGTAACTAAGGCCTTGTATTCAACTCTAAATGAAAGGAATGGACAAATGTAATAATATTGAATCACTATGCATTATCTGGCTTTTTGACTATACTTCATATCTAACCAGCAAATTTTGATCATTACGCTTACGATCTGACAGCTACATTATCCTCTACCAACTAAGTTGTAAATTAAGCTATATTTGTAGAAACCAAGTTCACGTTTATAAGTTTTAAAAAATTTGGGCATTGGGTAGTAGTAGAAGTAGTTAATATCAAATTGAATCCAAATTGTCTCAGTAGGTATGATGTACTATGACAGAATTTGACCTAGTTTCAACATCCACTCACCCACGCCGATGAAGTGACTAAATCAGCCATTTGTTCGTGCATAAACAGACTCAAGACATTTGTGTATTGGTAATTTTTAGATAATTTCACGAGACAAATACTAGGGAAATTATTGGAATGAATTCGACAGAGTGGTACGATGTAAGATGCTCAGATCATTTCTCGGAAATACTTAACTAGTGATTTGAAACTAGTGTCACTGAAATAATCCATCACGGGCGACAACAAATTGCAGTAACTAAACAAAAGCAAGTGGAGTTACTCTCTGAAATACAGAAGGTATGTTGAAAGTATCACTAACTAGTACAGAGAACTTCCAAAATTAATTTGAAATCCACGGATGACTGCGAGGAGTGTTGGATAAAACCCCCACTAAAATTCCTTTCCTACTCTTTAGCATTTCATTTTCCGATTTCAATAAACCTCCTAACATGGACACCGTCCACTTTGTCCGGAAATAGATTATGGAACACCGACTATGCAATCCCAAGAGAATGTGCTTGCAACACAGAAGGATCCACATATGTGACATGATAAATAATATTATAAGTGGAGTCAGAAAGTCTTCATACACTAATAATCGGCTTTCAGAACCTGAGTAAACTCTAGATTAGCCTAATTTCTAGGTGTGCTCATCTTCCCTCCTCGTGCCACCTTCCATGTGGAGAGAGATCCCTTCACTGTTATTTTGCAGCAAATGGAAGCCACCCGTTCAGCCGATGCACGAAAATGCTAAATGACAAATTGCCAGCTAAATTTGTAGGACTGGGGCTTGTGTTGTGTTCCCTTCAGGTCTATCTAGTCATGTTTCTGGATAATCTCTCGATTTCAGACACCCAGCTGTAGAAAATTGTCAACTGACAGTTCATCAAGGTACTGGTAGTATTACTGGTTTCCTACACTATGCCACCTCTTACTTAATGTTATTGCCTAATTACCGAATGAAGTCGTACTCTACCTAACATGTAAGTACTGACAACAAGACTCAAATAAAAAGGCTCAGTTAATTAATTTTTAATGTACTGTGATAGGCAATATATTTGAATAAAATAAGAAGTTGAGATTTTTCAGAGAAAAGGGTTTAGAACTTATCTAGTTGGTAATGGCTGAATTACAGACTGTTAACAGGAAAAGGAAAGAGTGCGAAGATTTGCGTTCGAGCGAGTCTGTATGTGTAACTGTTAAGAGGAAAACTTAAATCACTGATAAGTGCACTGCAGTTGAATTTGAATTTTCTATCGTTCGGCTTTCTTTACATTCTGTCAGCTGTTCTTGGTAGTTCCTCACCGAAAAAGGGTACTGATATATATATATATATATATATATATATATATATATATATATATATATATATATATCAGTATTTGACTTTAATACACCGTTCTCGATGCTACTCATTAAACAGGGAGGTTGGATTGCAGTCACATCTTTTTGTGTGTAAATGTTGTCATTTTAAGCTCATTGTATATTGAGAGTTGATCTCTGCATTCAGTTTTGACATGTTTTGGTATCATTCATAGCCTGGAATCTTGGAACGTCTTAAAGGTGCTTTTAATCGGGTGTTCAATTCAATTTTTGGGCACGTGAAACCTCAGACATTTTATCATGTCGATGAGATTTTTCATCATCCTAAATATGAACCTGGTAAGTGTTTATTTATCTGCGTGTTTGATGCTATTCATTTTTCAGAAAGAAAAATAATCACTACGAGATGCATGACACGTTTAATATTACCGTAAACTTTGATGAAATCCCATGGTCCACTTCGTTCTGAGAGGACTTTTACTTGAGAACCACAGAAAATTCATATGGTGGTGAATGGTTTTCTGTGGCTTGTCATGGACACTTCATTCGTACGCACCTAGGTCTACGTTATTTTCATGTTACCATTCAGTCTTATAGCCCATAGATCTTTACTTATGTCACTTTATATTAACAAACCAACGGTGCGGCAATGGGGCCACCACTAGGACCCATTCTAGCCGACATTTTCATTTCGAAACTAGAAAATGGGCCTTTGAAGGATGCTATTAATGAACTCGAATTCTATTGTCGGTACATGGATGATACATTTCTGATTATGAGAAATGAGAAGGAAGCAAAGAACATCCTGGATAAATTTAACGAGGTTCATCCTACAATAAATTTTACTATTAAGAAAGAAAAATACTCTAGTGTTCAATTTCTAGACGTCCTTATGACCAGAAAAGAGAATGGTACAATAAGGGGAAGTGTATGCAGAAAGCCTTCATCAACGGCTTAGTATACTCATTTTCTCAGCTTCGTGCCCTTGAAATACAGACGCAATCTGATAAAGTGCTTGGTTCACAGAGCAAGCGCAATTTACTCGGATGAATGTCTTGATGAGGAACTTAATAATATTAGACGGTTGCTAAGTGAAAATGGTTAACCAGAAAAGTTTATTGATAAGAATATCAATCTAAAATCAAATCAACCCAAGTTACCAACAGTTCCAAAAAAGGTCTTATTCCTACAAATGCAGTTCCTTGGGGAAAACATCAGCGAGATACTAACACAGCGCCTTAGAAATGCATTAAAAAAAGCATTCCATGCTGACGAATTACGCTGTGTTTTCAAAACCACTCCTCTTTTTCGTTCGGTAGTAAAAGACAAACTGTCTAATTTCGCCTCTTCCATGTGTATCTACCAATTTAACTGCTCATGTGGAACCAGTTACATAGGCCGTACAATTAGGCGTGTTTCTCGTCGAATTCCCAAAGATCACCCTGCGTGGTTAAGCAAAAGACAAACAAAATCTATTCGCGGTGCTATTCTATCTCATCTTGTGGATACAGAACACAAGATTGACGTTAACCATGCTTTCAGGGTCATTTACCGCATACCTACGAATCTCAATTTTGCCTTAAGAGTTCGACTACTAAATATTTCTGAGGCTATGGGGATCCATTTTAACAAGTCTAATTTGTGCATCCAAAAGAAGTTAGTTCACACATTATCATTATCTTAGCCATCTAGGTTAGAATGACCCTGAAATTTTGTGGAATTTTCCTAATTTTAATTGATATTCTATTTACTACTCTATCTTTATTATTATTATTTAAGCATCCTAATGAATTTTAATTGCATTGATCTTACTTTACAAATTGATATTATTTTAAAAAACACTAATATTGTTGGTTACAGGATTTCATCATGAGCTGACATTGGTTACAGAACAATTGGAAAACCTAGAAGTACTGATATTGTTACTGACTACTCCTCTAGAATATTCTATGTATACAAACATATATATAATTGTAGAGCCAAAAGATGAAATTATCGAAAAGGATATTCTTTGCTGAATTATTTTGTGTTTTATGTGAATATGTTGTTATGTCCAACTAAGTGAAGCCCTTTGGTTATGAATTTCCATTTGAACTCCCGAATCTTCCTTTTGATTTCTGAATTTCGGAGGCTGTAGTATATTTGCCACATGGTGACTATTAGCTTGGTGAATCTAGATATTAGTTACTGTGGTGTTTGAAATCTGAGAGAACTGCTTATGAGTGAAGTTTGCATTTTTGGGCTTCTTAATGTTCTGCAACTATGTAAATCTCACCATCACCATCTATAGCAGAGTCATGTGAAGAGGGTAATTAACAGTCTTGAAATCACCTTGAAACTGAGCCTTTGAAGTTATGATCTCAAATCTAACGTGTATTTTCTAGAACTGGCCTAAACTGTATAGATTATTATTCTCTCACAACCTTTTTAGAAATATTATCATAATTTAAAGTAATTTTAAGGATGGTAACTAACAGTGGGATCCAGGATGCGCATTTCTTCTTATTTGGGACTTGATCCAATCAGTCAACGGGAAAGTTCAAACTGACTTAAATTTTACGATAATTCGTGAAATATAACTGTCAATTCATAAGGAAAAACAGTGTTTGTTCAGTGAAGGAATATCTCTTTTTAAATACTTCATTTTCAAGCTGTACAGTCATATTTATAATACGGAAAAAGGCAGTAAATGGCGCTAGAAATTGATCAGTCAGCATACATATGATAAGGATAAAGATAATAAAAATGATGTATTAATAGGGTATAGTTGAAGTGGATAGATTAAAAACTTTTAAAGATCGTTAAATAAGTAAATTAGCATTAAGATTTTAAAGATCAAGTGTTGTCTAAAAAATTAAGAGCATGATGATGACAACAAACAATGAAGACGGCGAAGATGAAGTGAAGTGGAATGAATTCATGTGGTAAAACAGAATAAAATAAAGTAACTTAACTATGAACAAGGTAAAGAAAGCGATTTAACAAAACGCTTTTGAACACATAATTTAGGTTTCTGTCCATGTATAGATAGAGCTTCGGCTATGCATTAGTGGAAAAAAATGTAAGCTTTTGAAGTGGTTGCATTTAGTTCTTTAGATAACTAACTTTAAAGGATAAATCACGTGGAGTTGAATGACGTGACTCCAGAAGGTGTTCACAAATTGAAAACTTTATCGTCCTATGTTCACCTTTCATTAACCAAACAAGGTGGTGTTCAGCTAGGCGTTTACGGAGAATGCGCTTACAACATCCAATGTAATCAGCTTCACTCGAGCACGTGAATAAGTATGTACTCATAGAGTTGGGTATAAGCGGTACTTTATCCATCACGAATTGCCGAATCATGTTTTGACTGGTGAATACTAAATGTAAGTCAGCTGCATAAAAAGAGTGCTTAATACATTTGGATAAACCACTTTTAATTGCTTCAGCAATGGTGTCACCTTTGAAAGACAAACTTATAAACAGTGCATTCTTTGACACTGTAATTTGAATGGGGACAGTTTCCTTCTTGACGTTTCTGTCATTAAATACTCTAAGATATCCATTGCTTGAGAGAGTTCTGCAAGATTTTCCAGCTCTGTCGACAGCATCTACAGAGCAGATTTTCCGAGCACCGGAGAACAGAGAACGGATAAGGTTTCTCTTCCTGTCTAGAGGTATTCAAATGTTGAAGTTGGTGTACTATCCTGTAATTGTTGGCTTTCGGTAAATCTACCTTTTCAACGTGCCATCCTCTCTTTTATATAACGTCATATCTGAGAAGTGAAATGTAGAATTCGATTCTTCTCCGGTAGTGAAAAGCATAGATGGGTGAGAACCACTAAATTTTCTGAGAAGCTCATTAGTTGAACAAATGTCATCGGAAATAATAAAGGTATCGTAGATATATCGAGATTATTTCTTTCAAAGGACTACTCTATATGCTCTCCATGAAGACAAGGTCATAATCGAGACCCCATGGTGACTCCATCCCCTTTATTGTAGATTTTATCGTTAAATCTAAACTGTACATTAGGCCTAAATCTTAATAAAGGCTGCTTCAGATAGTTAGTTGCTACTCTAAATTATAATTATTTTCATTGTTATGATATCTATATTTGCTGAGCCATTTCTAGTGTCACTTGATATCTTTTTCTGTATTATTATAATTTTTAAAATTAATGTCGAGCGTTGTCTAAAAATTTTAAAAATTAGGAGTACGATTACGATAAGAATAAAAATGTGAAGTGGAATCAGTTCAAGTGGTAAAATAAAAACTAGAAAGAACATTACTATCACCAAGGTCAAGAAAGGGGTTTGACAAAAGGTTTTTGAACACATAATTTAGGTTTCTGTTCATTTATAGCTAAAACTTCGGCTATGCATAAGTGAAGAAAAAGTAAACTTTTGGAGCGATTCGATTTTACCGTGTAAATAACCTTGAAGGATGAATCACGTGAGGCTAAATGACCAGACTTTAACAGACGATCCCAAGTATATTATTATAATTCACAAACTACTCTATACTATATAAGTAATACGGCTTTAACTGGACAATTTTATAGATTACAATTTCGATATGCTTTATCCAACAGGAAATTTGGAGTACGATATTGCTCTTTTTAAGCTAAAAGAAACACCAGTATTGTGGAAAATAAATCATTTGGATTTGATAGAACTACCAGGAGACGATATTGAAGAGGAATGGCCCAAACCAAACCAGGTAACTTGAATCAGTATTTTACTATATATATATATATTCCAGCATAAGAAGCACACACCATGTTGGTGATAACACAAACTAAAACTAAGTTTTGTCTCCAAACGATAAGATGCAATCATCCAAACGATCTCCTCACCTTAGGCTATTCGTTTTCATCAACATGGAGTATGTGCAAAGTTTAGGAAAAAGTGAATTTCTCTCTAAGATATTCAAGTTATATTTGTATAACTGCTGCATATAGCAAGCTAGTAGGATGCATAGATTTTATTCACATTCTCTGATAAATTGCTAACACCATTTTCAAGGGATATGAACAAATTCATTTGTTAGCTAATTATGAATATTCATAACAGACTTACATATTTTCATAAGAATGAGAATAAGAAGATATTTAATTTACTCCATAAATGTTAATTTTTATCTGAATATCTGCTGGATAATAAAAATATTTAAAAAACCATTATTTTTCCTTCTTGTCGTTCCTAGGGGAACGCGGAACTTCAAGCCTTTTTTGACGTTTCAGTAGTGGTGTTTTTTGTTTTATGGGGTTGGATTAGCCAGAATGACTATCAGTCTCCCATCTTTTCCCGGCCTGCTACCAGCTTGTGAATTAGATCAGGTCTAACGGTGCGCCGGCTGGGAGTTAGATCCGGATTTACGGATGGCGAGCGTTCTACCGCTGACGCACAAGAAGGCTGCATTTAACTGTCAGTTTGAGCTGATATAGTACAAGATTTTTGAAGTTTCAGCGAACTCATTTTTCTCTTTTTTTCTGGTTTGATGAATATAAGCTAATCAAATTAGCTGATATTATCTGTTCAACAGCTGTTCTGTAGTTTCTGCACTTTTTGGAATTTCATCATAAATTGATATCGGTTAGCGGACCATTGGAAAATCTGGGAGTACTGGACAGCCTAGTCTGGGACTCCTCATCAGTACGTACCCACTGAGGTTTGCACCCAGTACCTTCTGGTTACATGGTGAGATCGTTGACCATTAAGCCACTGGGACCTGACCCAGTGGTCCATGAACTCCAATTTCTGCCAATTCATGATATGGTGTGACCACTAGCGAATGTCGTCGACGAGTATTTGTCCTCACAGCCAACCTGCTGTACCCCACTGGTCACGACGTCCCATTAGAACCCAAAATGAGCAAATCACTAGTGAGCATAAGATTGATATTCAAGTAGTGGTTTGCAGGGATTTGAATTGTTCTGGGACTTCTTCATAAACTGTTTTTGTCTGATTACCTTTTTCCTTGTATCTTAATCGTCGAATCCAGACATTTTAACCTTCCGAAATTCATGAATTCCATCTGAACTTTTTAAGTACATCACTAAAAAATAGGGAATTTAAGAATTATTTCCTGTTTCTTATGCACAGTCAAGTGGGATTATCGATTTCTGTGTCCAACTTCAAAAGTGATGATTTATATCAGTTTACTATAGTGATTCAACCTCATTTTGTGTGAACTTCTTTTTAATACTTTTCCTTTGACAATTTTATAAATCCAGTTAAGTTATAAGAAACACTATATTTCCTAAAGATATTCAAATTTTGCGTATATACGGATTTTGATTAATTTCACTGAATACTTAATTATGAACCGACATTGAAGAAAATGTGGGGTACTGGACGACCGTTTCATCCTGGTTTGGGTATCTTCAAGAGTATATATTCGCGAGCTCACTAGCAACCGAATCGAAGATGGGATTGTTTAGTACTGGCGACATATAACGAAATAACTGATCGGTCCAGCTTGAACCCGGAAGGTTTGGGGTTCGTTTCATTCTGGATGTGAGTAAATTTTGCTGGAGACGCAAAATTTCAGGTGAAACAGTTGTTCAGTTCTCCTTGCTCTTCAATATTGAACTACTCTTCAAAGTTATTTCATCCTGGGTCTGTAAAATGTAAGTTTCGCTCGATTGGGACTGAGCTCATCAGCTCAGAGAGCTGAATGAATAAAAACCGCTTGAGGTTTGGCTAGTAATACCTAAATAAAATTTCGCAATCTGCAAATTAATTCACAACTTGCGATTTGAGGGGAAATTTGATTTGCCGGTGAAGTTAGTTTTTTGTGAATCTGTTAGATTAACACACAATCGTTTAAATATTTCGAAATCTAATTGAGTAACGATCTTCTACTTTCATTGAAAGCTAAAATAATAAGCGGCTGAAGAAAGTTTAGAAAATAAGTACCGAGCATAAACAATTATGCCTCACTCGGTAGAAGTAGGTGAATTTATAATTGTACAGTTTGTATTTCTACCCAACTTAAGTGTTCATATGAATCATGTTCCTCAGTAATGTGAATCTGCAAGTGATGTGTTTGTGTGTGTAATTTCAACACGCTTTAACCTAGGATGACGGCGGGTTGCTCGAGAAATTGGACTACCCAGTTTCCCACAGGAAACAAAGCGTCATATTTACTCAGTTGTACTTTGTTTTGACCACCGATTTATGTTCCTGAACAGCGATCTGTACTTATGTTTACTTTTGATAGGCTTTCGGCATACTGCTTGGTTTGTTTTGAAAAGAAAAATACTTTGGGGATTGCAGCTATTTTGAGACAGAACAATGTTCCATTGAATGACATACTGCAGCTTACTGTTCCACTTGAAGGATTAGATAAAACCAAGGTGAAAATTCTGTACTTTCTGTTGACATGTTTAAGATAAAGCTATTACTATTAATGTTATCAGTGAAAGAGACACTGAAAATTAGAGATTTTCAGGTGTCCTGAATACTTTGGAATCAGTTCCTAGTGAGATTATAAATTAATATTGCTAAATAGGCCAAACTAAGGAAAAACATCCATCCGTTAAATTTCATGGTTTGAAATAATTCTCTAACTGATGCAAACTTGTGACAAAATCTAGCTTGAAATGTGAATTTTATTGACTGTCACCTGATATTTATATTTCATCTATATTTTTTAGAAGTGTATAGCTGTTGGTTGGGGATGTAGTTTTGTCGATGGACCACCTACATTGAAAATTCAAGCCGTAGAACTTCCAGTACTACAACCGCACACTTGCAAGTTAATCTACATGGCTTATATAAATTTAACTACAGAACATGAATTTTGTGCAGGTTATCACAATTTCGGGAAAGGTGTATGTCCGGTGAGTTGACGAATTCATTTCGAAATCCGCTTGTCTAATTTGTGAAATTTGCTGAGTCTCAGGTTACACTGCACTGATTAAAAGGACAGAGACACTAGACTACTGTTGCATTCATATCTTAGATTCCTCAACAGTGCTTTCCTAGCTTTATCTGGGATTTAATTCGACGCCTTCAGATACCTTGATGAGCTCTGGATGATTCCACCTCCAAGTTATGATTCAGTGGCTTATGATTTCCAGCACTTCATGGACTGGATTACTGGTATTAGTTGTCGGAAAGTTCCAAAGTGTAGTGAAACAGTTATCCAATATTCCTCGGTTCTCATTGGTTCACTAAGATTTCAGTGTAACATTTTTTCGTAGTCAAATTGCTTTACAAGAATAGTTTTATGCGTTTAGTAAATGTAATATCTCTAGAGTGCGTTGGTGGTTCACTATCATACTGGAGACCTGAGTTCGACTCTGCCAACGCACTCCCAAATCTCACCTAGTTTACAAGCCGATAGTAATCCAGGAAAAGAGGGAGGTCGGGCATCAAAGTACTAACCACACCCCATAGTAGGAATACCAACTCTACTGAAACTTTAAAAAGCTTAAGGTCTCATTGTTCCACTCGAGATACAAGGAATGTAGAAGATTTCTTTAATTATCCGTACGATAAGTGCAAAACAATACGCTTACATCAGTAAAAAGTTTGAGCATTGTGGATTAGATCAAATAAAGTATAATTATATTTTAATAGTTTACACACAATGATAAGTTTTGTTATTGGTAATATTTCGAGCAAAATTACTGCCCGTGTTCACACCACTGTTGGAATTGTTTTATTCACACATTTATGATTTGTACTCATATATATAGTTCATTATTTTTTTGCTCATTCATGTTTTGTGTGTGCATATGTGTGTTCAGAATTATACTCCACATTCATTCATGTGTTTGTATTTAGAATTATATTCCAAGTTGTTGATAGTTGTACTGAGTCACCCTTGTTACACGTATCCGGTGTGACTTTAATGAATATCGATTCTGTTATGAGTCTTTCTTTCCATTTGTTCATGTTTGTTTTTAGAATACACACATTGTCCCAATCGACATTGTGGTTTTTGTCCCATGCATGTGCAGCTATAGCTGAATTTTTTTCAAGATTTTTGTAAGCTTGTGTCCCTGTTGGTTGACCTTTATTTAGGCGTTTATGTTACGCTTACAATCTAGCTGTCGTCTACTATTGAAACTTCCATGAGTATTTATTGAAATTACACTGGTTAGTCTGACTTTTTAGAGGTCTGAGTTATGCAAATCACTTGGAGAATTTATGATTAATCAGTCAGTATTGAAAATCCAAACAACTAAAAACATGTTCAGTTGTGTGTATGACTCATCTAAATTCTGGCATAATAATAACATAACATAACATAACATAACATAAGCTTTATTCCAAATCAGTACTTGTGATACAGAATGGAATTCTCAGCATTTTACTACAATATTGCATCCAGTTTTTTTACATTAACAATAAATAAAGTTCTACATAGTTTAAAGTTATCTCAACAACATATTAGTATGTCGGTAGCAAAGCCAAAATTTAACTGTTTGATGGTGTTAGAAAAGTAGATACTACTAGCATATTTACTGGCGTAAGCGATAGCAAAATGTTCGAGATGTACAGAGTGTAAAAGAACGAACAAGAATGTTTTAAGTAGAGTTTGCAAGGAAGAGAAAAACAAAACAGCACATAACAAAAATAAATACAGAATGAAAGAGCGAGAAAACGTTGTACCTATAAATGATGTGAGTTGGAAAGACAATATCCATTGGTTCTACTGACTATTTAATAAGTTAAAGGTTTCATGCCTGATGCATTCTTTATCGCACAGAACACGAGCTAAGTAGGGTATGGATGAGTTTTTGTACTTACTAGTGCGGGCATATAGTTTCCTATATAGGCTTCTTGTTTTCCCTGAAGAGATACATGGGGACAGTTGTGAATGTAGAGGGTGTTGTGAGTCAGATAAAATGGATTTCGCCCATTTTTCACATGAGTCCATATGCCTGTCCACCAGAATATTAACTAGCTGGCTAAGTGGCAAGCTGCTTACCCTGCTGACAACCTTTAACATCCTACGTAATAAGGTATAGTCTTTCTTCAATAGCCCAGGAAAGACTAAGGGGGAGCAATAGAGAATAATAGGCAGAATACGGGAGTTAACAAATTGTAGGAGTAAGGGTTGGGTTACACCAGAATGCCTTAACTTCTTGATGTAGAAGGTAAGACGGTATATTTTCTTGGAAATCGTCAAGATATGAGACGACCAGGAAAGATCAGAAGATAGAGTGACACCTAGGTATTTAATTTCCGACTTGGTTTCTATTTCACTGCCATCTATGTTGCACACCTCGTGAGTGCTAACCAGTTTGTTTAGGTCAGATTTATGCCTAAGGGTGAAATTAACTGTTTGGCATTTGGAGGGGTTTAAGGTTAGACCGTTTTCCTTGGACCATTGGCTAATTTCCGATAAGAAGCCATTTAGTTTAGAGCAGTCACTTTGACATTTGACAGGTAAAGACACAGTTAGGTCATCAGCATATTTGACAAAGTTAATGTCATTTGAAGATGGTAGGTCATGTAGAAAGAAAGAAAAGAGAAGTGGGGAGAGTACAGCACCTTGGGGGACACCAGCTTCTGTGAGCACAGCAGAGGAGGATTTACCTTTGTATACGGTGTACTGCATTCTGTTTGAAAAGTAGGAATGCAACCAGTTAATGACCCAGGACTCGGTTTGTGTCATGGAGAGCTTATTTAGCAAGAGACTTCTAGGTACAGAGTCGAAAGCAGAAGTAAAGTCAAGAAACGTGCAGCGGACATATTTGGCACCTTTGTCTAATGATGAGATAATACTGTTGTGTAATATGTGTTTAGTCACTTGATTGAAATTCACTCCTAGTGTGATGTTAACAATAATGACTAAAATGTTACCAAGGTATTTCTTACAGTTGAGAGGCCATTCAAATATTAAGTTTGTGATTTTTCCAGTTACAAGTGTCTAAAATGTATTCAGCCTGATTAAGAGCAAATTATGTGACATGAAAACAAGGTGTATAAACAACACAAGTTTGATAAAAAGAAAAGAAGAATGACTCGATGTGATGATAGTCGTGGCGTGTTGGTTTGAATGAACAAGATAGCTAACTGATGACAGTCAGCTCAGTAAAGTACACAAGTTTGTTTTTAAGTTTTAGTTTGTAGGGATTTGATTGGTTTCAAGCTTGATAACGGATCGGTATCAGTTAGAGAACCACTGAAAACCAGGAAGAATTAGAAAGGTGTTCGATCTCCGGTGGGATCATGGATGCACACTGCTGAAGAGGGACAAACAGAGACTGCACTTCATGGCTTTCAATGGTTTCCTAACTGATATATATCCGGGATCAAACTTGAAACCAATATAATTATCCATATGTTCGGCTATTTGATAAATATAGAAAGTTTCCAATTGGTAACCTGCTGGTTAAAAGTTTATTGCACAGATCTGTCAGTCAAACCTAATTCTCAGGTTGATTTATGTAAATTTCAGGCATATTTCTCTATCTTTTACCAGTTCAGGTTCATTAATTTTAAAATTGGGTTATCTGTAGTCAAACTTGGTTTGACATAGAAGTAATACTAAACTCAGTCTAAGGATATTCATTTTATTTAAATGCAACCATATAAATAAATTGTTGACCTGAGGTGGCCAGTTATGCTGTTTGAAAGGATTGGAATAAATCATTGGGCGAGATTGTTTGAATTTATCCCTCAGTTGAACACTAAATGCGGAAATACAAATTAATTTCTTGTCCATTCTCATATGCAGCGTGAATAAATTGATAAAATAATAAGATGTAACCTCATGGTCAGTCTAGTCAGTACCATAAATTAGACTTAGATACATCGAAAGCAAGACAAGTGAAGTAGAAGTAGCCATTCTCGATACTACCATAAGATGAAAGACAAATATTATAAGAGAGAACATTTTGCAAAGATTCATCATGAAACGACTTCAGTTAAAGGACCATTTAAAACCAGGGAGTACTGCACAGCTGCTTATTCCTTGTTTGGGACCCTTCAGCACTACGAATCCATGACTCCGCCGACAAGGACAGAACCAAAAACCTTCAGGTTAAAAAGGGAGAGCAAATTCACCAGTCAATCACTTCGGTAGAATCTAATGGCTCATAATGAAAACTGAAACCAGTCGGATCTCTGAAAACTAACGCTTAAAATGAATCTAATGTTGAAGATGGAATTCCAGTGGAGTCCCCCGGGTTGGGTGTAAGGAAAATTACTCACTGCTAACACTGAATGATGGTCACGCTACTTATCACCGATTCGCCGAAGTTAGAACTGACGGGCCACTTTATCTCGTCCCAGTGACTGAGTGGTTAACAAGCTTGCTCTAGTAATTTGAAGGTTCCACGTTAGATCTCTGATGAGATGATTGGTGCACATTACAGAAGGGTCCTAAACAAGTACGAAGTAGTGTTGCCCGGTACTCCCCAATTTTCGGTGGTTCTCTAACTGAAATCACTTCGGGAACAACGTTGAAATCAGTCAAATCCCTGAAAATTCACTTTTTTGTATTATTCGTCTTTGAAGAGTTTAAGACGAGACTGATTGTGTGGTTATGAGTTACAACAAATCGAATTGACTGACGACAATGCAAAATCTTTCTTTTAGATTATAAGTTTTGCAGGGATATGGATTAATTCCAGTGTAGATTTTGTCATGATCAACATCAGTCGGGGAATCATGGAACATCATGCGAGTACTGATGTTGATTCATGACGAAATTTACACTGGAATTAGTCCATGTCCCTACAAAACCCGAAGTGGAAATATCAATCTCTAGCTCACTGATGGCTACTGGATAGATGTCCTGAAGTTGTAATGCGATTTCATGGTCACTGAAGTCCGCTATGTCAAGGTGAAGTAGATGCAACAGAGCACAAAGCATCACAATTTTTATCAGTATAAGTCAAAACGTTTACAAGTTATGATCACAGATAAGAGGAAGGAAAATGAAGTAAGAAAATAGGGTGGGTGAAAGTGTTGTTCAGTAAAATGAACCTTGGTTTTAAAATTGAATTATCAAACCAGGCCGTCACTATTGAAAAATAATTTTCGAACAAATAAAGCATGTTGAAGCCTTTTTATGTCTAAGGCTTCAACGAATTTAAGTGTATGATGCAAACCTGTTTTATGAATAGGTTGCAATGCACTGTTAAAATCAACTTTACGTCTCGTCCCTATGAGGTGCTTTGCGATAGATGAGGCTCAGCATTTGCTTACGAGATTAATTGAACCAGGTGATTTTATTTGTTCTTATAGCCACTCTAGAATGCGTTCTGTATGCTTTACCTGCAGAGATCGATGGGTCCTTCCTATGTACGTGTTACAACATACATGTGAATTGGTAAACACAATGGGATGTGACACTATCGTTCGCATACTGTCAGGACTTAACAGGAAACATGATCCTCGAACTCTCTGTGACAGTGGGTTTGGATGCAAAGTGAGTCCTATCGGTACGGGTGGCTAGTCACTGGAGTGTAACCCTTGTTATGCTTACCTGCTGACAAAAAAGTTTACCAGATGTCATTTAGTAGTCATCTCTTCTTTCCTTTTTTATAAATAAATCTAGGGTGATAGTGGTGGGCCGTTAGTCTGTGAAGATTCAAACGGTGAGTTGAAGTTAGCAGGTATCGTGTCAGCAACGCATTCAAAAATGCCTGCTGATTATCCAGCCATTTTTACTCGGGTCTCCTATTTCACTCAATGGATTAATACTGTTATCAAAGAAAATTCACATAAGAAAAAATCAGATGGATTCTTTTCATTTCTTAAATTATACAACCAAAATTGATGCTAACGCTTAATTTTTCCAGTTGTGTAATAAGCATGTGTTAATTGTTATTATCTTATATATATACTGGAACCTTTAACTTTGCATCTTTGATTTTTTATAAACAGAATTTACTGATTCGTTTTGATAAAAAAGATTTTTGACATCCTTTCTGATTATTACGTCGCATGACCAGGTTGTTATTGGCGCTAGAAGTCTTCCGACACTAATGATTTTTGAAGATAGTCTATTGACTAAATTGATTACTAATATGAATTTTCAATGTTTCAGTTAGAACTCATTTTCCGTAGAAAAGAAGATGTGGTTATCCTAGATCAATGTAATTAGTATGTGATAACTTGTATGACAAAAATAGAAAATACTAGGCCTGTTCACCATTGTGCACTCCAACACACACAAAAACAAGTACATACAGCACCCAATACATAGAATTGAATATCAACCCTGCATATCGCTGTCAGACAGAATCCATTCTATTGTTTACATTTTGTTTTACTTTTAAATGTGTTTACCTAATCTGAAAATTGATGTAAATGTATCGAGGAGAGGGATATTGCATTGTTTGTTGTACCATAAGGAGCTTTATTACTGTAGCATTCACAGTTCATATAAAAGCAATTAAATTGTGAAGTAAAGCCTTTCATCTTCAACAGTTTTTTCCTGAGACTAATCACCAATGACTTTAGTTAGAGGGTCATTTCTTGTTTGAGAATCTTCATCAGTATGCCCGCATTTTCTGCCGGGGATAGAACTTAGGATCCTCATGTTCCAGAGGGAGCACGTAGATCATTCATGCACTGAGACAAAATCCAGTGCTTCAGTTTCAAGTTTTATCAATTCAACGTATACAGGGCCATCTCCACTCAATATCTTCATTGTTTTCATATGACCTGTGATCAAGACTTGACCGGATAGTTACAAAATAATTGAGCGCCAAGATTTTACAATATAATTTTATAAATATCCTCGTTGTATATTTGTTCTCATATCCAACTTAGTTGAACCTCCTGCACAAGACTTTCCAGTAGAACTTCAGTCAGCTTCATCCTCTAGTCAGTGACTAGTGCGTACCAGACTAATTTTCAGTCTCAGGATTTCATCAGATTTCAGTTACTTGTTTGTAGGGATTTAACCAATATCAAGGGTGGTCATGAAATGATTCCAGTTAAAGAACTTTTGAAATTCAACTAGAGGAAGTTATCTCTCTCATTTACCTGAACTGGGTGACATAATTTCAACTACAGGTGGTAATGAAAGGATGTTAGATGCAGCCAACTAGGATCGAGAAAGCCGGACAGGTACCTCTAATTAATGGCAACCTGCTTTAATCATCGGGTTACCTGAATTTCCATCCAACCTATGGCATCATAGTTTCTCTTATTGTTTTAACCATTCATTTATGCCCTTGGGTCGCGAAATACACTCACGCACATTTCTGATTGGCTTTTAAAATATCGGTGGGCTTTTCTCGGAGATGAAGGAAAAATGTCTTGAGGGATTAGTCTGCACTTCAAATCGAACAATACTGAGTCGCATGTGCGTCGGTGGCACATTGGTTAGGACTCTCGCCGACCATGCACATGGTCCGGGGTTCGAGCCCGCACCGACGCACATCTGATATCTATGGTCGGCCTGCAAAATTTGGGCTACCGATATCCATGCTGAAAATTCCATACTTGTACCGAAAATGCAGTGTGGAATCAAGCTGTAAATCAAAAATAAAATAAATAAATAAATTCTATAGATTGCGATCTTACTTGAAGATGATGGATGAAAGCAAAATATTATGCTAAAAATTACTGTAAGAATTCTATACACTGTGTAAACATTTTTTCCAGAAAGAAACTGTTACTATTATTAGTAGCAGTGGAACGACAGACGGCAAGAGTCAGGCAACAGATCGTTTATTATGGAAATCAACACATATTTATAGATTTTCAAGTACATATTACAGATTATTGTTAGCAGAAAAACACAGTCTTCTGATTGGTTGTTTCCCACAGAAAGTAACCTTGCATCTCTTTGTGGCTGTTCCTTGAATGTCAGATCATCTATATGCTAACTGCATCCGCCTACGCAAAACCTTTGTTCTCATTTTTCTCACGACCAATATTGGGGACATTAACATTGACGTAAATTACTGTCCACCAACTTTGGCTAGCAGCCAGCTCCCACAACAATAGTATGCAAGTGTGCGCCAGTCAGAACAAGGCGAAAGATTACAATTTTCAGTACTAATGCCAAGTCAGTGCTCTTCTGTAGTTCACAAACTTGGTGTGTGTCACCAAAAGCATTTCTAACAGGCTACTGCAAACTTTCTTCAACATCTAACTTCTCTGGATAATGGGAATCAGATGGCCGGCCAGAAAAGATAAGCAACAGGGAACTTAGGCAGACAGCAAAACAGCCGAGAACGTTTTGCTCAAAGAATATGCAGAATGAAATGGGAATGGACTGGATATACGCTGAGACCTTCAAGTGACATCACAAGTCAGATAGCGGAGTGAACCTGAATGGTTAATGGTAGGTTAGGCGTCCGAAAGTAACGTGGAGATCTTGTGAAGAAGAGATGATAGGTTTGGGCTGTCATGGATTTAGGTTACAGAAAAGAATATAGTACAATGGAGATATGCTACTGACGCCCTGTGCTCCAGTCGAAACGAATAATAATATCGAATATCTGTGTATGGCTTCGCTCGATAACTACATTGTAAGTCTGATCACTAAATTTCAATTATTACACTCACAAATAGTTTCACTGAAGTTATTACAAATTTCTCAGCTTTGGAAACTGCTTCAGCAGGAATAGAGTGGGTGAAAAACAGTGAAGAGTAAATGGCGGTAGAGACAGCGGTGTCGATAGCTAACATATGTTAATAGAAATTCAGATTTCTTTAAATAACTGTTAATGAAATAACTAAAAAGTAAACAACCGTGTGAAACGATGAGTTCAGGGTTGAAGTCCCAGTACTAACACTGTCATTTACATGATATGCAGGTGCATTTAGCTGAAGAGTCCCAGGTAGGAAGAAATACACATCCTAAATTCCAAAACCAGTCATCATCAACCAAAAAAAGTTGAGAAAATAAATAGCAATCTAGAAAATCTAAAAGAAGAATTGAAATATATGAAGAAGAGGTACGATTATTGAGTAATCTTCCTAAATTTGTTAAAATGTTAATAATATCTGAGATGAAAGTAAACAATCTGACTAATAGTTGCAACAAGTAAAGAATAGCCTTCAAAGTTTTTTTATTGTTATTATACATAAAGTGGAAAATAGAGACTCTACATAGGATTTATAACCAAACTTAGATTAGGGTATCAAGTATACTGACAGAAATATTTGGAGAAAACTCTCATATTACTGGGTCATCCTATGATCTTAAATGCGTAAACCAAATAACATGAAGTGATAGTGAAATCAAGTTGATACATGAAAACAATCGACCTCAGTCAGTTTGAATACCAAGAAATTACACCTAAGATAAATCGGTAAATCCTCGTATGAGATGAGATACTACAACGTATGCGCCAACTCACAATTACATTACAAAATGGGATAAGGGAAAGGCTCTGAATCTTGAACCGGTGAGTGATGAGAATGATGCGGCAGTTGGAAATTTGTCACTACTAATAAAGACGAATAAGTAATGAACTGTAACAATTTTGCAAGTGATATGAACAGGACATTACTTTCAAGAGGATGCTAATAAGCAATAGCTACTAGTGAAATAACTCAAAATCATTGTCAGTGGAGCAGATGCATTCACTCTTTATGATCTCATATATCAGTTAAATCCTCATGCCTTTTCTCCATGTTACTATTCTTTCTCCCATATATTTCTGCTCATTGTAATTCTTTCGAATTGCTTTTTCTCCGTTTTGTGTATCTTTGTGTGATATATGGTGTATGGCAACTTGAACTGCTTCACTTCTGTGTTGAACCAAAATCAGTCACGTTCAAAATTTTATTCGTTGAATTAAAACCTAAATCACTGTGTTATAATAAATAAACAAAAAAAGTAGAGCTGTACTCAATCGGTGTGTGCACCTTGTATTCATACTAACAGATCTTTCCGCTCAATTTAAAATAAGAGGTTTGATTTAGTTGTATTCTTGGTGCTGGATGGCTCAGTTGCGGAGTCTTCGTTATCCTGGACGACATCTTCAGTTCTACACTTCACACGATGCTACACGTCATCTCCATCATTTAAACAATTAAAGCTGTTTTGATACTTTAAAATAAGTTGCGTGTTATAGTGAAAAACAATTTACAAATCCCCACTCAAATTTCTCCTAATTTTAGACGCCTAAGTTCGTTTTCGATTTTCAGTGATGCACTCGTTTTCAAAATTTTACACATAAGCAAACCAGACTCCATTAAAGATTAAGTCATGATCGATGAACATCCTTAGTTGTCTATAAGTGGATAGATGTGTTACAACCGCTAGTCTGTGTTTATCCCTAACTCCAATTTTACGACAGGCAGAATTTCCTTTTTCCTAACCTCCACTGTGTGGAACGTCAACAATTCGATGGTAGTATGCTTACCAATGCACTCATGAGGTTCGATTTCCAGCTGACTCACTCCTAGACTTCACTTAAGCTGCAGTTAGCGCGAAAAAGAAGGAAGGTTGAAACGTGAGGTGTTGGTAACCTCACTCCACAATAAAAATAACACCATTACTGATACTTCATAGCTCGGGAGCTTGAACGCTGTATGTCCCACTTGGAACTCAAAGGAATGAAATAAACCTTTACTGTGTGCCTACTTACTATCAAAGCAAAGAAATATATATTCCTTTTCAATTAGTTCCTCATCATCGGCTCCTCACTAATATGTAGTTTTTTACACCAAAGTTTTGCCAATTAAGTGGTTATTTTAGTTAATCAATTTTAGGTATAGCGGGGTGATATTACCAGAACAATTAACTCATAGATGTTAGTATAAAGGTATCTAAGTTTTAAAGGAGGGGTGAAAGTTAATTACGGAATTCAAGATAAGTTGATTCTTAGGCGTTAGCAACAAGTTATTACATCATCCAGAAATCTGTAAAGATGTAATGTATAATCTAAAAATCTAAATCTAATGTATAATCTAACTAAAATGACCACTTGATAGGCAAAACTCTGATGTAAAAAACTACATATTAGTGAAGAGCCGATGATGAGGAACTAATTAAAAAGGAATATATTTCTTCGCTCCATCTTCTGTTCTTTCTAAATGCGTAAATGAGAATCCGAAAAAACAAAAAAAGGTCTGCAGCTGAAACACTTACTATTCATAATCTCTTTCCAAAAACAATAAAATTAAAGATAAAAGAGCATAAAAACTTAAATAAGAAAAGGTTTGGTGAAAAACCGGGTTTGTTATCATTACTGTTCCACATCGGTTGGATCCAACATTCGATTTTCTTCATAGGCATACAATCCATGATGCTTAAATACATTTGTACATACACTAAATAACAATTTAACATTCGATACGAGATAGGATGTAATTAGCTGAGAAAGCCTTGATTCACCTTGTTTTAAATTTTGTACAAAATGACTACATGGCGCAGCTGAATTCAAATAATAACCAATATATTTCAATTGTTCAGCAGGATATAGACTAGCCATTGTTC